ACACAAAAAATAAAAGAAAGAAAGAAATGGATTAGAACAAAAAAGAAGAAGAAGAAGAAGAAACGGATCAGAACTACCTGCCACATGTGGGTTATTCTTATGAGATACGTAGTCTAAATCGATGATACATATAAACTTGTCCCAAATCCATATATTCGTTAATTACCTCCAAATCTTTTGTATTGGAATTTGTACCCCTCAATCTTAATATCACCACTATACTTGTGATTGAATTAACTAACTTCATAATTTTAAATTAGATAGAAAGAGAGTAAAAGAAAGAGAGTGAAAGAAGACATGATCAGGAAAGGTAAATTAACGAGTATCTCATCTCGCTCTCTTTTCCTCTCTATCCAATTATCATCTAATGAAATTAATTAATTTCATCATAGATATATTAGTGATATTTAAAAATTAAGGCGTGAAAAAGGGGAGATTCGGAGGTTGGGCTAGATTAGAAAACGTTTAGATTTAGAGAGTGAATTTGCAAATACATTAGATGGGAGGACATATATGAAAATACCCAATAAACTAAAGGGTTTTATTAAATATCAGTCCCTTAGATCTTCAGTAATTGCATATTAGTTCCTCAAACCCTATAGGGTACATCTTGCAAAATAGTCCTTTAAGTTAAATCACGTTAGGTTTGGGGGGGTTATTTCGCCAAATCTAATAGTTATAGGTAAAATGACCATTTTACCATTGTATAATGTTCCCTAACCCATTTCTTAATAGGTTTAAACCTAATGCCCGCTTAAAATAAATCCAAACTTATCTGGGTTCTTCTCTTATGGTCAGTAAAAAAAATCTAACCCAAAGTTGAGCATCACAAATAGTCGAAACATAGGAAAAAGGGATAGATTGGTGATTGTAGATTTTGGGTTAGGAGTTAACCCAATCATGATTAGATGTTTTAACTGAAAGTCTGATAGATGTACTATTTTGCAAGACTCTGTATGATTTGAGGGACTACTATGCAATTTTCAAGACTTGAGTAACCAATATGCAATTATTGAAGATTTGAGGACTAATATACAATTTCCAAGATTTGAGAGACTAATGTGTAATAATTGAAGATATAAGGGACTAATATCTAAAGAAACCCTAAACTAAAATGACAAGTTAACCCTCAATAGCTTATCATACTCCCTTTAAAATTACTAGTATGGGAAAATATTCTATAGTCAATATTATCATTAGTTTTTTTAATATTACATTGTTATCTAAATCTATTCTAATTATTCTATCGTCTTTGAATTGGAAGCCAAATGATTTATTCTATTCATAATAAGAATTAACATGTTATTGGATAAAATAGATATGTTTCATATAATTCAAATCATTTACTTATTTTAGTTCATAGAAAAATCTAGAAAACATTTGCTAGCTAGCACCTAAAAATTTTTAGACTTTGTAAAAAATATTCTCCAAGTTTTTTTAAATTACAAAAATGCCCCTATAAATTTAAAATTTTATTAAAGCATCTAAAAACTTATAAATTTTACTTATCTCAATTTAGTGAGAAATCTGAAAAATATATGCTAACTAGAAACTGAAGTTTTTTGACTTTGGAGAAAATATATTGTAAGTTTTAAAAATTATAAAAACACCCCTAAAAATTTAAAATTTATAAAAAACATCTTGAAAATTTCAAACCTAAAAACATACTTAAACCTTATAAATAACACAAACGACCCCAAAAATTTATAGAATTTGCAATACACACTCTGAACTTTTTACAAATTGTAAAATAAAACCCTTAAAATTATAAAATTTACAAAAATCCTAATAATTTCTAACCTAATAGAAAATTAAAAATATAGAAATTATAAATATCTCCTACATAATTTATAATTTATAGAAAACACCCTTAAAGTTTCAAAAATTACAAACAAACATTTAAAATTTAAAATTTATAAAAAACACCCTAAAAATTTCAAATTCATTAGTAAATTGAAAGCATATTAATTATAAATAGTCTATAAACAATTTACAATATGTAGAAAAGACCTATAAGTTTAAAAATTGCAAGAAGACATTAAAATTCATAATTTACAAAAAGAAAACACCATGAGAATTTCTAACCTATAGACATTAAAATTAATATGCAAAATTACTAACAACCCCTAGAAAATTAAAATTTTACAAAAAATATCATACACCTTTTAAAAATATAAGTTTAGGAAAAACTTTTCATGGTTAATATTACCCATAACTTTTTTGAAAAGAAAATAACTAATTAAAAATTTATTAAATTTGAAATTTATAAAATTAAAGTTTAGTACATTGCAAATTACCCCTCCAAAGTTTAAAATTTTTCAATGATTTTTTTTTAATTCCTTGATTTCAGTGTAATATTTAATAGTTTTGTGTATTTATAAATTATAAATTTTAGAGTTGTTTTTATACCTTTTAAAACTTTTGATGGTATTTATTTTGTAGTTTTCTAAATTTTTATTGTGTTTTTAGTATAATGCACATATACATCAATTAATAAAGATATTGAAGAATAAGTCGTTCTTAAGATTATTAGACCATAGTTAAGTGTGCACATCACTATTCCTAGGCAGTATAGTTTATATATGCAAAAAATTCCAAACAATCTATATAGTGGTTAAAAAGATTTTGACTTTAATGTACTATTTTTTATAAATTATATTTAATGTGAACCCACCATATAATTTTGACTATGATCATCATAATTTTAATACATTTGATTGGTTGACTATATACGTATATAGACCATAGATTACTTTACTTTCTCACATAAGCTAATATTTGATGCTTAATAATTTAAGTTATTACTTTTAAATTTAATATAAAAGAGGAGCTCTAATAACATTTATTTATTTACCTGTAGCAAAATACAATCTCAATTCTTATTTTTTGCTGGAGATTTATTCCATAGTTACTCGTATCAAATTAGTAACTAAAATAATAATTATTTATGTTTAAATTAGGATGATTGTAGTTGGTCACTCACTATGAAATTTTTATGAAAATATGTACCTTACTTTCTATAGCTATCTGCACTGCCTATGTATAATTTATAAATTAGTTTTTAATTTGACATATTAAATTATTATTTTTTGTAGAAATTTCTTCTTTAACTTTTAGACTATGTAATCACTATATTACTATTCTAGCATAGAAATAACCTCACTCTAAATGGCTTCAATCCAATATTTTGAGTTGCACTGAAGTATATACTATTGCTACTATGTGCATATATATTTTTAAGAAAATCATGTCAACACTTTTTAAATAGAAGAATATTATAACCTCTGATATTATAAAAACTAAATATAGCTAATTGAATGATTAACAAAAGAGAACTTACATCAGAAAAGTATGAATAATAAGATAAAGAGGAAATGTAATTGCATTACCAACAGTACTATAAAAATAGCAAACTACAATGTAAAGTTAACTTATTTTGTGGAGCCCAACTATTGGCTATAAACATCGAGGTTTTCAAATATATACTTTATAATTAATTAAAAGAGGTCATATAATCTTAGATCATAAAGTTGATTTAATATTGAATAGTAATATCGTTATAATAATATCATTATTAGGAAAAATTCTTCACGAATCGATATGTTCTTTACAATTTATAAGTTATGCACTCCAAATTCTTGTGTCATTTATAGAGCCAAAAAGTTTGAACACGAGCATCTAACATGTTGCTCTTACAACAGCAAAATCCACTTAGGAGATATGTATATTCCAAATGAGTTATGTATTCCATATATAATACAATTGCCCTAGGCAAGTGAGTTATAGTAACATTTTTATTCTCATCGTTTGAGGTAAGATTTGATACGGACATTGCATCAAAGGAAAAAAAATTATATTTAGAGCACATTATGAAATATATCATAATCTCCCTGTTTTAATTTCGTAAGAAAATAATTCTTCATACTTTTAGTTTTATTTTTATGATGCAGATAATGAGCTATAAAATTGAATGAGAATATTATTTAGATAATATAAATATGAGTAAAACATCAACTAAAAGTTAACGTGAATATGAGTCAAATCACAACTAAAAGTTTGATGGACATATTACAGGTAAATTCATATGCAAAATTCCTTTGCGAATTGAATGATCATCCATCTTTTGAAGACTTCAAGATACTAATAAATAGAGATGTTACACTAGATTAATATGTTTATAACTCACAAATAGTAGATCACGTGGCCACAGTCTGGGTTGAAGGAAACAATAATAATATTTTATTTGAGAGAAAGATTGTTGAGTTGATGATAAATCCCACAAAAAACTTTATTTTTTTATTTTTATTCTATTTTTATCAATTTAAATAATAATAATATTTAATCACGTGCAATGCATGCACGTGCATCTCAACTAGAGTAGAATACAAATAGTCTCACTTGAAAAGTCCGAATACACCATTCCCATAGAACCTCCCCTGCTACGCGATAACCCCGCCACCGTACCCGCGTCTACCCCCCCCACCCCCCCCCCCCCCTCAAAATCCAATCTCACCCCTTTGACCCCCCCACCCTCAATCGACAGAAAACCCCCAATTCGCCGGTCCAAGAAACCAACGGCATCAGCGATGGTGAACGCGACGGAGCTCTGGCAAACCCTCGCCACGCGATCGTCCACTACACCGCTCGTCGTCCCGCGACGTTCTTCACGGTGCTGGCGGTGGCGGCGGCCCTCTACCACGTCGTCTATCCGGGTGGCTCCAGCCACCGCCAGCCGAGGAAGAGGAGCGGAGTTTCGAGCAGATGGAGCCGCTCCCTCCTCCGGTTCAGCTCGGTGAGATCACCGAGGAGGAGCTTAGCGCTTACGATGGGTCTGATAGCAAGAAGCCCTTGCTTATGGCTATCAAGGGCCAGATCTATGACGTTACTCAGAGCAGGTACGGTTTTCTTTGGTTCTAGGGTTTTGGTTAGGGTTTTGGGGGGTTGGATTGGTGATCTGATGTTTTCAGTGGTTTGTTATGGTTTTTAAACGATTTAGTTGGTATAATTGATCTCATTATGGGCTGATTGGATCAAATTGAGCGTTCTTTTTATGTTTTTTATTGTTTATTTCAGCAAGATTGTAGCTTGATAATAGTTTGTTGGTATAGCATAAGTGGATCCTTGGTATACCATGCAGGTTGTTGCTAGTGTGCTCATTTCTGCAATGATTTTGCGTTTTCCATCTTAATTTGATAAATTTGAGTATGAGTGGTAGATGGTAAACTTGGAGGATGAAGTATTTAGGATGACAATTTGTTCTGCAGCGTGCATTTTCAAGGATGACAATTCGGGTTCGGATTAGGATTTTTGAGTTGTGGATTAGATATCTGATTTTTTTAATGGTTTTATAGGTGATTAAGTTGATATTTGTTGATACAATTGCTGTTCTTTTGGTTGAATCGAATTGAGTTTTTTTTATGTCAGGGTCTGGTTATGCATAAAGATTGTAGCTTGATAATAAGCATAGTTGGATTGTTGCTGTACCGTGTATTTATTATTAGCTCAATACTATGCAGAGCTTTCTGATGGTAGATGCTTTGCTTCTCTAGGTTTTGAATGTTTAACTTGTTGCATTTGAGTATTGAGAGTGGTAAAAGTTAGGAAGACAATTAGGTCATTTTGCACTTACAAGACTAATTTCTACACCGTTAGTGTTTATTTCTTAGTATCATGAACCCTCGATTCTATTGAGGTGATATACTGGGAAAAAATTGAAGCATTAGTTGAGTGGATTTTATCTTGTTTCCTTATGATTTGTTGTATGTTTCATCAAATTTTAATTTACAGGTAATAATTTTTGCTTATATATGGCTCCATCTTTCTCGAACTGAAAGCGTATAGTCGTTTTGTGGATTTGGTTGTTTCTCTTGATGGAAAATATTTATACAAATGTTTTTCCTTGTAATAATGAGTTTTAATGGGATCTCTTGTGTTAGTCTGCTTAACGTGCATAATGCAATTCCTTTTTATTTATTCCACAGCTTAATGCTGCTTGTTTGATCAAGTTTTCTATTGCCTTTTTTTAAAAGAAATATTTATGGCTGTATTATTTTTTGTTGAAGACCTTTTATGTGATTTTCTGTGACTTGGGCGTATTCCCTCCCCTTTACCTTATATGTGTCGAAATTAGAATATCTGTGAACATTTGCAATTTGGTTCAAATTTCTATTTTGGATTGAATATCTCCAAATTGAGATAGCATTTCGTCCCTAAGGTTTTTGGTTGTGAAATTAATATGCATTATTGGTGTATATTTCTATGATTTAAGAGTATATATTTCTGATTTTAAGAGTAGCATATAAACCTAATATGCATGGAGGAAAAAGAAAAAAACTCTAGATTTGAGGACCATGGCAGTAGCTGAAAGTGGTTGAAGGAGCATCGGAAGATGATTGCAGATGTGAGCCCTACAAATGCAAAAACAAACATCTATAGCTATATTTGTTAGAAACATTATAGCAGTTTTGAGTGGTTTGGAATAAATAAGTATAGCATGTTTTTGGAGTTTGATATGATTAAGTCTCTGTGCAACAATGTTCAAGGACAAAATGTATAACATGCATTCTTCCCTGATTCTCCATTAGACTATATTTTGTAGACTAGTGAGGTCAAGTAGACAGTGAAGGCAAATGTTCAAAATGAATATTGTTATTCTTTTCCTGATCTCTGAGAGGGATGATCGGGTGGCTCAAGTTTGCGAGAAGATTATACACTGATGCCATGCATGCATGGGTTTTTAACTGTACAAATGGTTATTTTCTTGTTGAGAATAGTAATTAGATTAGATATTGTTGCATTAGGATCTTATGTAATCTTATTACATAGTATCACATGTATGATTGAATTATCACTTATTAACTTATTATCTTGGGGACCTTGCAGGATGTTCTATGGACCTGGTGGCCCATACGCATTGTTTGCCGGTAAAGATGCCAGCAGAGCATTAGCGAAGATGTCATTCGAACAGAAAGATTTGACCGGAGATATCTCTGGCCTTGGACCCTTTGAACTCGAGGCCCTCCAGGACTGGGAATATAAGTTCATGAGCAAATACGTTAAAGTAGGGACGGTTAAGAAAACCGTGCCAGTGACAGAAGCCAGCACCTCCGAAGCAACTGAGCCATCTACTCAGACCACCGAAAGAGGCCCAGTGGAGGACCTAAAAGAAGAGGATACACCAGCATTTCATGCCAAATCCGAGGAAGGTGCATCAGTGGAGGGTGGCGAAGTAAAGGAAGTCGGTGTAGCAGAGGATAGCAAGGAATAAATTCAGATGATGCATCATTGTCTGTGTAGGTCATATCATCTTTCTTGAATCGGTGCCCTGGACTTATTATCTATATGTTTGAGAGGTTAGCATGGTAGTAGATTTTATTGTACTTGAATCTGAAGCATATGAAAGAACTACAGACTGTCTGCCCACTATAATGATGATATGCACCTTATAAAATGAAGGTAATAAATTTGCTGTAGAGGTTCTGATCTTTTCATCTTTTGGTGCTTATAGTGTAATTCTAAGTGCTGGCTGGGAAAATGAATCTAACCTTGTTTTCAGCTGGTAGGCCTTGTGACTTTGAATAGGTGACCGCCAGACCGTAACTCTGTGGTGGGTTCTGGCTGATGGAGAATCGGATGCCTGGGTTTGGAATTAATTTCACTCTGGGCTTGTAGTAAAGCCTACGAAACTGGATTTGGATTTTTTTTAACAAGAGATATTTGTGTTCATCCTTTTCAGATAGGGGTTGTTTGTTTGATTTCCTAGAAAAACTAGGTATTAACCAATAAATCATAACAAGGAAATGAAAGTGGGCTGTTTGGTTGGCCAAAAACCATGGAAACATTTTATTGGACGTCTATTTCGTTGGAAAGTTTTTTTTTTTAATTTCTTTGTTTGGTTCGCATCTTACGACTAAGCAAACAAGTAAAGTGTCATCATCTTATTGGATGATTTGACTCATTTATTAGGAAATCCATTTCATAGATTTTCCTAGAATAGTTTCCTTTTTTTTCCCATGGAAATATAATATAGGAAGTCTACCTTTTTTTTTTCTTTAGTTTCCAAGAAACCAACCAAACAGATCCAAGAGATCATCTCCTTTAAGGAGCTGTTTGGTTGGTTTCCCTGATTATAGAAAACTTATTTCTAAGTATGGATATTGTTTTTCATGTGTTTTTAAAGGTTTCTTAAAATTTGTTTGGTTCATCACAAAATAGGGTTGGAAATAGATCTCCTCACATCTCCATTGTTTGTTTCACAACTAAAAAAAAGTAAACTAAGAATAGGAAACCTCACTTATCCATCACTAGAATAGGAAAAAGAATAGTTATTTAATCCCTTTTCATCCCATTTCCGAACTCAATGCTCGGAAATGGGCATTTCCTTAAATTTAATTTCTCCAACTCATTTTCTTAAATCTTATGTTGAACCAAACTGAGGAATAGAAAATCTTTTTGAACTTAGATTTCCCACTGTCATATTGTCAGCATAGGAAACCTATTTCTCTTCATCATTTTTGCCAAACAAACAACCCCTTAAAAATAGCAGAAATTGATTTCCTTGGATTAGTATCTAATCCACCAATGTTTGTTTGACACATCATTTTCTTTACTATGGTTCTGATGTTTTCAAGTTTGCCCCCAAACATACAAAACTGAAAAGGTATAATGTGGCCCGCACAATCATGGGATTTTCCACACTTTTCCACAAACGAATAAGTTCCCAGCTCCAGATGCACATTCGGAATATTGTAGAAATGTCATATGTTCCATTTATTACCTGATGATGTAGCTCTATTTGACATTTTTATACTACGAATTCCAGGAGCTCAGAGAGCTAAGTTAGCCGGGAAATGAGAAATCACGACTAAGAAATACTACAGCTAAGGTCTATTAGGCTTTAATTGCTCCTTTTTCCTTTAAGTATTAATTACAGAAAAAACCTTTATCAGATATTCTCAAGATGACACCAGTACCTACTATATACAAACTACAAAGAGGCAAAAACTGGAATGAGGAAAAAGACAAAGAAAAAAGAAAATGAAGAGAGGAGATGGGAAACTCAGGTTCAAGTGATCTAGCACTGCCTGCGAACCCCAACAAGAGTCTCAATTTTCTGTCACAAATTTAAAAAATAGGATTAGTTAATCAGCAATTGAATTATAAAGAAATCTGCAAGATGTAATAACTCTACATAATGTAACTTAAATCCAGTTAAATCAAAAAATGGAAAAAATTGCACTAAATATACCTCCACTGATTGCTTGACTTCTTCAAGTTTGTTTAGCAACAAATCACCAGACGGTGCACCTCCTCCGCTCTCAAACAGGGCATGCCTTGGGGAGGCCATTATCTATACAAATATTCAAATCCAATTGTGAACATTCAGTTGTTGGCAACAGATACTTAGTGAACAGGAATATACACAATAAGGACAAATTTTGAATTAGACCTTTTCACCATTTTTTTTTTTTGACCTATTTGCAAAATATTTATCATTGGCCTAGTCTCAGCCACGTCAGCAGAACTACGCCAATTTATAATAAAAAAAATTCTTAACTCCATGAGATTGGCAATCCCGTAGAGCTAAATTGTGAGTTAAACTCTACGGGATTCCCAATCTAGGGAATCGCGTAGACTACGAATTTTTTTTTTTTCAAAATCGACCAAGTTCCCGAAATATTTATCAAAATCAATCTAGTTTCACCCATCGTGGCTGGAACTAGGTCTATTTTGATATATTTTGGGGAGAGGTCAATTTTGGTGATTTTGGTGATTTTTTTAAAGGGTCTAATTCAAAATTTTGTTCACACAACAATTCCCTGGCTACATTTATTATAGCAAAAGTTACTGTCAGCAACAACTGAGTGATTAGACAGTTGAAAATATTATGTTCTAAATAAAATTTTAAAACTTAATTTTGGAGGAAAATCACGATCGTCTCTAAACTTGTCTGATAAAATACAAAAAATTGTAAGAAAATATTTGAAAAAAGAAAAACTTAAATTTAACAGAATTTTTGCTCTTGCTTGGCCTGACAGATGTGAATCAGGAGAAGAATTGGACTGGTGAATTTTCATAAAACTCAATTCATTACCTTCCCGCTTGGAGACTGCATTCTATTGAATGCTGGAATCTCAGTCAAAGATCTCTTCTGTGCAGGCATAGAGAATCCATCTCCACCACACATTTTAGGTTTCCAACTTCCACTTTCTCGAATACTTTTTGCAGCTTCTTTTATGATGATCTACATGCAAAGACATAAAAGTACATTTTTACATTGTAAGGGACTTTTAGTTTTCTGATGAACTCATAAAGCACATTAAGTAACTAACCATCTACTGTTACAAATTCATGAATTAACAGAAACAATGAAATGCACTGTAAGAAGCATTCTAATTTGATCTGAAGGGATTAATCGAGGAACCTTGCTTCCCAAAGAAAATAAGATTTTCTCCCATTTGGATTAGTGTGACTAGTCAAAAATGACAGATGTAATTTACAGGAATTACAGGTGAGGATTTATAAATCTGTATATGGTTACAAGCAATGCAAGTGGAAGTTTCTTTTGTCTAGCATGACTAAAGTAGAAAGTAAAAAACCATTTTGATTAGCATGACTAGCCAAAAATGACAGATGTAATTACAGGTGAGGATTTATTAATCTGTATATGGTTAGAAGCAATGCAAGTGGTAGTTTCTTTTGTCTAGCATGACTAAAGTAAAAAGTAAAAAATTAAAAAAATAAAAAATAAAAAAAGATCAAGAAGAAATTACAAGCTAGTCTAGTTGCAGTGGCAAATCATTGAATTTCTCTACAAGAATCCCTTTTCATGCAAGATATAAGTCTTGAAGATCATGGAACTCTTCCCCACTCAACATTTTAATTCTTTTCTATTACTTCTCTTCAGGTTCACATGTATCTTCACCTCCAAAAAAACATCTCGTAAACTTACTGCCCTATGCACTAGCTCATATTCTGAATTGAATTGGATTCTTGAGGCGCAATCATCATTTTCAATAGACATAAATTGTAGTCTATTCAGTCATTTTGGCAACAAGCTCACTGCAGGTTCACTGTCCTTTATTGCACATACATGATTAGATGAAACACTAACCATGTGGTACCAAACCTCGAGTGGAAAGGAAAGATTAAGCATTATCATCGCTACATGAGGACATTCCATACCCATACATTTCTCAACTTTGTACCGATAAAATTTCTGATGCATATAATGAAGTCAATTGTATGAATTACCTTCCTCAGAAAGTCTGGGTTAGAGACACCATGAACCTGTAATTCATCCATGGGTGCTGCTTTTCCATGTGCTATGCTTTGAATCCTGAACGTATGAATTCCATATACAGACTGCAAACACCCTTCAACAATTGAAAAATATACGTATGTTTAAGTAAAGGGCGCTTGGAATAAAAAGATGAATGCTTAGCTCAAACAATGATAAAAAAAATTAATCTCTCTTAAGCATAAAGAAAATTGTGAAAGCTAATTACATAATACATGACCATTGAACATTACTTTAAGAAACCAGTTAAAGGAAATTAGCTAATACAACTGAGACAAAAGACAAGTGGAATCTGAAAAGGACCAATTTCTCTATAAAAATAGTGCATTCCCTCAAAATGTACAAAAATTTATTTTTTTAATAATTATACAGGTTTTTGCTTTGGAACCCCAGCTTTACCTTGATTTATTTTTAAAGCCACCAAGTTTCAGATGTACTCTTAAACCTAAAATACACAAATGAGTTATCTTTAAACCCAGCTAGTGTAATTATACATTGAATACACTTTTGCAACTGAAATACCAACTTTATCCTCATCCTCCTCCTCCATCATCTATTTGCTTTCCACGCACCCACTGCCCCTAACTCATCAGACCCTCCACCATCCCAACCTTCAACCCACCTCCTCTGGCACCAGTATCACCATCTGCTTCATATCCCTCCTCTCTAACATCTCCACAACAAGGTTCCTTAGATCAATTGTATTTCCTATGGAAATCTCGTAATCCTTCACCAATTTCTCGACATCCTTCTCGATGCCGCCACCGCCAAACCAGAACCTGAGATCGGAGAGAGAAGTTGGGGAGGATGATGTGGTTGAGGAGGGTGATGTATAGTTGGGCGCGGATCTCATCCTTTCTAAAATTGCGTCTTTGATGGAAGGGTGATGAAGGGTTTGGGAGGGAGAACAATATGAAGAGTGAGGAGCAGTAGGGGTTTGTGGCGTATGATTGGTATTTCAAGCAGAGAGATGAGGAGGAAGATGAGGGTAGGATTGGTATTTCAGTTTTAAAAAGTGTTTTTAATGTATATATACACTACTTGGGTTTAAAGATAACTAATATGAACATTTTGGGTTTAAGATTACGTTTGAAACATGGTGGGTTTAAAAATAAATCAAGTTAAAACACTTTGGGTTTCAAAACAAAACCCCCAAATTTATATAAATCTCTATAAGCTGTTGGCAAGGGCATATTAGAAATGACCCTTCTCTATAAAGGACCAAACATTTGATGATTGAAGAGGAACAAACAAGCTGAAAGGAAATGGACAGCATTCCATAACCCCCCACCCCCGCCCCACCCCACCCAAAACACACAAAAACACACACACACGCACACACTGTTTGGTGGAAATTTTGTAATAAGAAAATGATGAAAGAATCGTATTTTATTTTATTTTTTCTAACTGCTTAGAAAAAGAATGTTTACAACTCTCTCAAACTTAATTACAATTTGAATTCCCTGATTACAAAAGAGAAGAGAATCGACGGAGATCCTCCCCTTTGTTTAATTCTGGGTTTTTCACGGTGGCGATAGAGTGCCTCCCTCGAATGCTCACGTCGAGTTTGCTCTCCGTTGACGATCCGAACGTCTTCTTTTGCTAGAACGATGAACTTGCGTGGCGAGTTTGAAATTAACTCTTAATGAGTTTAGAAACTCAGAGCGAGTTTAAACTCTGTAACATAGTTAATTTGAACCAAAAATCGGTTAATAAGCCAAAGATGAAAGCTCCAAGAACTGCTCCAAAAGATGGATGCCGATCTCTCCTTTGTGCAGTTTTGATCTCCAAGATTCCAGATCGAAGATCCCAAAAAGTCTGCCAAAGATCTCTTCTTTGCTGTCAAGCCGAAGGATCCGAACTCAGTTGAGTTTACCCATATTTATAGGGGGATTAATGGGTGTAACTGCCCCCTTAATCCGCTCCTAAGTGGGGCGAAAATCCCACCAATCGTGGGGGAAAACGGTTTCTGGAACCGTTCAGCTCGAGCTTGAACGAGTTAAACGCCGAAAATGACGTTTTGGGCCCGAACTCTGCGTTTTAGACTTGAAATGCAAAGTTGAGCCTATTTTGATGGCTGAGAACGCACAGGACCCGTGCGTTTTGATGTTGCAACACGGGGCCGACCCGTGCGTTTTGATGTTGCAACGCGGGTCCGACCAGTGTGTTTTGATGTTGCAACGCAGGTCCAACCAGTGCGTTTTGTTCTGGGAACGCGGCCACGAGCTCTGCGTCTGGACTTGAACGCTGGGGATGAACCCTGCATTTTGATATTGTAACACATGAATGACCTCTGCGTTTTGATGTTACAACACAGGGAGGACCTCTGTGTTTTGAGGTTGTAACACAGGGAGGACCTCTGCGTTTTGAGTTTGAGACGCAGAGGTGAGCTCTGCGTCTTGATTTGAAGAGACCATTAATTTGTAGTCTCTTTTGCTAGAACATTATAAAGATCATCATCTTGTAACCTTCGTCTTGGCTCCTTAAAAATATGAGAGTCGTCAGATTGTAACTCCCTTCGTCTTGGCTCCTTAAAAATATGAGAGTCGTCAGATTGTAACTCCCGATGTTGATTGTGAAGACTGTTGATTAGAGCTTTCATCAGTTGTAGAGTCGTCAGATTGTAACTCCCGATGTTGATTGTGAAGACTGTTGATTAGAGCTTTCATCAGTTGTTGTTAAGGTCGTTAGATTATAACCTTCATCGATCTACGTGAAAATCTTCAAATTGTAATCTTCTAGAATTTATCAGATTGTAACTTCCATCATCAGTGTTTGATAGGGATAAACTATCTGTAGTAATTTTTAGACAGTCTACGCACAGAAAAAGGAAAAGATGAGAGGAAAAAAATCATACCCACCTGCACCAACACCTAAAAAACCAGAAGTGAAAAGGGTTCAACATCTTGTTCCACTAGCTTAAAAATTGCCCCAGTAGAAAATCAAGAGTTCCCTCTACTAATCATATATTAATGGACTATTCTGGCATTCCAATTTCCAACATACTGATCATATAATTCCTGGCATCAACTCTTCGTCAACAGATCTCTGCTAAAAATCATGCTTACAACTTTTATTGCAAAAAATAAAAGCCGCGCTTAAGGCTTTTCCAGGAAACATGACACGAGAATTGGCAGAAATAACCATTTTTTATCCCTCAAAACACTAATGAAGAAGCACCCAAGCTGGTTTGTTCAACATGTATGCAGTTTAAGAATACTTGGATCACGAATTAATCAGGATTCAGAAGAATTTGTTAAGACTGTATATCTGCACGTTGATGATGATGGTCTAGTCGGATAGCAGCTGATGTAATCAGTGTCAAGGTCTGATTACCTTTTCTGATTAGTTTCATGATTTTTGGCATGATGAGGTAGATTGACTAAAGATGATACGTTAGTTGTATCAGTCAAGGTGGTGAGCATTTAACTTTGCTGCTGACATTCAACAAACTAAGTCAAATGTTTGCCTGAGAACTACTAAAAAAGTGAGATGAGTTCATCTAGCTCTGATACAGCTAGTACAGGTTACTAGTAATTTATCAATTTTACTAAGAAACATCCTATAGACAAAATGAACAAATACCTATCAATCCATCAAATACAGTGAGAAACATAGGAAATCACAAACTTCATGAAAGAGGTCAAGCAAACTTGAGAAAATATATTCACACATTTTCTTAGCTAATACAATTGACTTGTCCTTTTGAGGGACAAGCTTATCTTAACAAAAGCTTTTGTAGCACCTACGCATCCCCACCCCAACCCTCTTTCATAAACGGGGGAAAGAAAGCAAATGAGAAATTTCAGGTAGTCCCTCTTCGTGCATGTTAAGAATCTAGATTAAGGTAAATTTTCCAGAAGATTTTGGTAGCATGTAAATTGTCTAGTCTGCAAAGGTGGTCAGTCAGTTACCATTAGATATCAGTAACCACAAAATACAAATGACTAATCATCTTCTGTTACATGCTTGCTCCATTTTATCATACTTATCACCAATGAAATACCATAGACAATGGAACAATATGATCTTTAGGATATTGCGTCCCTAGATGGCATATATTATAGATAGCAGCAAGGCATCACATATTTACTTACTGTTTTGACTAATTAACTGACTTTTAGCATTTATTGTCAAAAATTACTGAAAACCAAGTTTGTAGAGCATGAATTCTTTCAACATATGTAAAAGGCTAAATGCATAGAAAGCAATATCACATTTTCAGTTAGAAGATGTTATGACTGGAATGTTGCTTGAGTACCTGTATACTTGTCAGTGTCAGCCGGTGATTCAAACACTTTCTGAAAGGTAAGAGCACTTGGCAAAAATAGCATTTAAGATTTTGAAATGTAGAGCTAAACTAGCAGATCAACCGTGTAAACTGTAAATCTGTACCATGTTTACCATGCTGTTAATGACTTAAAATAGATATGGAACACTGGTTGGAATAATTGCAACAGACTGCTAAGATGATGAATTCTCTTGCTATTCAACACTGTTTGATTGATAACAAAAGACTAATATGTCAACGTAATTGCATAGAATATTTGATTCTAGTCATGGCTAGAAATCAATTTAAATAGAAATTATTAGAAACATAGTAACAACACATCGTGTCTGCTTGTACCTTGTTCAATAATAACATCAATAACAAGATTCAGCGGTATGTGATTCTCAATCTTTGTATGCCCCAAGAATGGTAAAAATGAAGGCCTGGTAGCCTATACAATATATCCAAAATTCCATCATGATATACACAATACTCACATTAGGAAGAGAAACAATTTACATGAATAACTTACCTTGTAAACTATCTCACTTGGTGTAACATATAGTTTCCTCGAAGAAACCTCCTTCTGCAACACATATCTTCTAACTGGGAGATATAAAAGCATAATCACTCCAACCCCCCACGCTAAGGTCAGAAGCAATGATATCATGACCCATATAATTGTGTCACATTGCACATAATTTCTGGCAAGCTCATTAAAGGAAGCTATATATGACACCTTCGGAGAAATTTCCGCCTCCTCATCAGTTTCAGCAACAGGATCTTCTAGCACACGCTCTGTTGATTCACTTCTTTCATGGAAACCAAAAGCATGGCTAGCCAACATTCCTGAAAACGTAAAAGCAACACATGATAAGGCTGGAGTCCGACATGACCGTAGCCAAATTACAGGAAGACCTCAAATAGATGTCTACCGCATGCAACTTACTTAGACTCGTACCATAAAGGCTCTGTTTGGCAAAACTAGCTGAAAGCTACGAGATTATAGCTGAAAGCTGTTAAGCTAGATGAAAGCTGTGAAATTGTAGCTGAAAGCTGTTAGCTGTGTAGCTAGCTGATTGACTAGAGCTGTTTGGCAAAAGTAGCTGTACAACTAGCTTAAGTTTGTTAAATGACTAAAAAAGACATGCAATATTATTGATATAAAATTAGAATTATTAGGGGCAAAACGGAAGACAAAAATTGGCAGCTCCTTCCCAAAGACAAACGCTACTTGATGTAGCTTTTCAAAAGCTACTTGCAAAAGACACAATCTCTAAAATAATCTCTTCCTATTTTTGGTCACCAAACAGCTCTACTAGCTTATTAACCAAGTCAATAAGACACAAGCTCTTAGATAAGACACTTTTTTTGGTTGCCAAACAGTGCCAAAATCTCACCGCAACCTTGACAACATCAATGACATAAAGAAGACATTTAACCCGGAGATACTATGGACTAAAAAGAAGTTGTATTAAGATCAGACTCTAGCAACTGCTATAGTCTCTTTACATCATCTTATCCATCTCTGTTCCAGTCTGTTCCTAGTTCTAGCAGCTCCTTTGACGCTCACTGATCTGGCTAGCTCAGTAATCACCTCAATTGGTTCTCATCATTTTACTTCCAATTTCTAAGCATGCCACCCCTCATCCATCTCAAAATTTCTTTCGGAGTAATTTCCAAATGCTTCGGTTCTTAAGCTCCATTAAAATTCTATGATTACATAGCACACCAAAGGACTTTTCAAATTTAACCATTAATCTCAACAACAGGAACAACAAAACCCTAATTTCACCAATCAATTAAACTGTCGCCGGATCAAACTTTTTCTCGGCCTCAAATTATCTAACAACAGAATCCAAAAAGAGATGTAAGCACAAGGGGGAAAAAAGCGAACGAAAAGAGTTTTTAAAGGATCACACTCCTCAAATTAACTCGACGCCTAGATTTCCTGAGTACAAACCGATGCATTACCTGAGCGAAATCGCAGAAGGTTATCAAAGGCAGGAACTTTAATTGCCCCAGAGAAATTTGGAAGGGGAATCCTCAGGGGAAATCAGAGGGAGTGCGGATCTAAACTTTCCTTGCAGCGGCATGCTTTGACTATATTGCCCTCGCGCTGTGCTCGAATTCTGAGTTACTTTTCCGGATGAAGGCCGAAGATAGGGGTATTTTCGTCCAGACATTCTATGATCAAACCGGGGGCAATCGTGTAATGGTCTTTAGGCCGAAGCGGGACTCAATAATCAAGTGGGTTTAGAGCAACTCGAATGGCTTCCCTATTTCCTATTTTTGTAGAATTTAGTTAGGTTTTTGGTCCAATAGATTTTCCATCCCATTCTCCAAAATAGGGATGAAGGAGAAAAAATGGGGAAGCTTCCCCAAATCTGCAGTATTCTCTAAATTTTTGGAGAAAAAAAGGATTCTTCAAAATAGGGAACCAATTAGAGTTGGTGTAAAAATAATTTGGAGAATATGACTTTTGCTTCCTCATTTTGGAGAAAATTTTGGAGAAGCTGTTGGAGATGCCCTTAATAAGACCGATACGCCCCAACCAGAAATGTATTTGTGTTTTTTAATATGGAAAGCATTTTGAAGGGGGTTTAAATTGCAGCTGACCACGTCGACATATTTTTTGATGATTTGTTTTACTGAAATTTTCAAAATGCCTTAAAAACATGCATGCCAGATATTAGGTTTGGTTAAGGGGCTGTTTGTTTGGCTAAAAAAAAGAAGGAAATCAAAGAATAGAAGATGAGATGAGATGAGTTGTCACCATATTATTGGATGATGTGAGTGGTTTTTTATGAAAACTTGTTTTGAGGTTGTTTGGTTGGTTAAAAAAAAATAAGGAAATGAACTATAAGAAACATATTTCCTATAATAGGTTCTTTTCTTGTGTTTGGTTCATTCTTAAAAATAAGAAAATAGATGAGATGAGATGAGTTGTCATTATATTATTGGATGATGTGACTCACACTTAGGGGCTGTTTGGTTCGTTTACGTCACTTTCCATAGATGATTTTCCTTCACTTTCTTGTGTTTCCTTCATTTTCCTGAAAAATGTTTCTTGTGTTTGTTTCGCCCAAAAATATGTAGTGAAAGTACTTTACATCATTATTTAGTGTTTGGTTCAACTTGAAAAAAGAAGAAAATATGTAGTGAAAGTACTTTACATCATTTTCTAGTGTTTGGTTCAACTTGAAAAAAGAAGAAAATATGTAGTGAAAGTACTTTACATCATTTTCTAGTGTTTGGTTCAAACTAAAAAAAATTAAGAAAACTTGATTGTGGTCACCATGGTAAGATTACCACCCAACATAATATTTGTGCTCAGAAAAGGCCATTATTTCATTATCTGCCTCGCCATAAAGTTTATAAAACAATGTTGGCTGCAATATATTGCCTCGCCAATATATTGTTGCTGTAAACTTTGGCTGCATATCTTAAAAATAACACATCATCATAACACAAAATATGCATACCAACCAAAAGCCAACCAAGAGCTGAAACCAAGGCCGAGAGCAGGTTGAAACCATGCACTGAATTAAAACAAAGGCCAAGCATCAACATGAAACCAAAGGCCAAGCATAGCTAACCAACAACAAATAATAGTACCAAGAGCTGGAACCAAGGATCAACTGAATCCGAAGGCCAACCATAGCTGACCAACCAAAGGACAAGCAAGAGCTGCAAGAGGCCAACACAACCAAATCCCAAGCAACAAGCTGCTGCAACACAAGGAAAGCACAACAAAATGCCAAGAAACAAGAGCTGCAAGAGGCCAACACAACCAAAAACTGCTGCAACACAAGCAAGAGCTGCAAGAGCTGCAAGAGGCCATCATCATAGCTGACCAACAACAGGACAAGCAAGAGCTGCAAGAGGCCAACACAACCAAACCCCAAGCAACAAGCTGCTGCAACCAAGGAAAGCACAACAAACTGCCAAGAAACAAGAAAAAACCAGGCTGCAACCAAGGCCAACACAACCAAATGCCAAAGACCAACAATACACCAAATTCAGGCTACAACCAAGGAAAGACCAACCTCAGGCCAACACAAGAAAAAACCAAAGGCTGCACACAAGGAAAGCACAACAAAATGCCAAGAAACAAGAGCTGCAAGAGGCCAACACAAACATGCTGTCCAAAAGCCAAGCAACATAAGGCCAAATTCCCACAAATTGCTACATATCAGGTAGACAAATCGAAGCTCATAAGAAATTGTAGGAAATGTGCTCAGAAAAGGCTCTTTTCTTCATTAGGACCAACCTCAGGCCAACACAAGAAAAAACCAAAGGCTGCACACAAGGAAAGCACAACAAAATGCCAAGAAACAAGAGCTGCAAGAGGCCAACACAAACATGCTGTCCAAAAGCCAAGCAACATAAGGCCAAATTCCCACAAATTGCTACATATCAGGTAGACAAATCGAAGCTCATAAGAAATTGTAGGAAATGTGCTCAGAAAAGGCTCTTTTCTTCATTATATGCCTCGCCATGAAGTTTATAATAACAATGTTGGCTGCATATACTGCCTCGCCAATTGATTACTAGTATAAACTCTAGCTGGATATCTTCAACAATGAAGCCCATCATCATAACACATAAAATGCATACCTCTTTAACTTTAATTCATCGAGGGAAAATCATTATAGAACCCCACTTGTAAACCTGTCAAACAAGTTTGCATTAGCATACCAAGTTTATAATTTAACAATAAAGCCATGAATGAGATGCATGAAAATGAAGAAAAAACAGAAATAACTATGCTCATTGACCATAGTGTAATACATGAAAGTTTAATACATGTACCATAGTTGTGTTTGCAAAATGATGAGCAATCATCCAACCACATGACCAAACAAAAATAATTACGCTCATTTACATATAAAAATAGTTATACTAGCATTGTTACAATTAGCTAGTTTCACAAAAATATCCCAAAAGCATCGTAATCCGAGCAAAGGCCAACATTCTAATCAAGAGGTTGACTCTTCATGAACTCAGTCAACGCCTTCTTTTGCATAATAGTTGGCCTCCCCATAAACAACCTAGCTTGTGATTCATTCTCATGCAATTGTTGATAAAACTTATCAAGAATTTCTATGTCAAATTCATCATGTGCAAATATAGCTTGTGCCAACTTCTCGGTCCAATGCATACTCACCATGCGCATAGATGAGGTGAATTGTTTTACCTCATTTACTATCTCACGCATAAGCACCGTGTCCTCACTAAACCTAGGCTCCTTTCCTTTACGTTTCTTTGACCCGTCATTTTTAGCTTTGTTCACACTAGAAGATGGATTGTATTTTGAGGGCATAGTTGGACCCTTCGGTGGTGGAATATCATCTTCATCTATATCAACATAGCTAGGTGTGTTCTCCTTTGGCATACTAATATCATCATCATCATCACCAATATTAAAATGTGCACTACCACCAAATTGTGACAACACATCTACCGCATAATCTCCTCTAGCAACATCGTCTCCAATAATAGTTGCGAGGTCTTCATAATGTTTCATGGGCTTGTTGATGTATTCCCTAAGTTTAGAACTATTCATACTCTTATCCTGCATAGTTTAATGCATATATCAAAAACATATAGGACAACATTGAACAAAATTAGAAATATTTGTTAAGAAATGAACACTAGAAAATTGTAAATACCTCTAGCCATCTATCAAAGCAAGCTTCATCCATAATCACCATCTTCTTTGCATCATCCCAACCGGCACCGCTCAAGTCACGACATTTTTGCATGTCCAAGAATCTATTACGAATAGTTCTCATACGATTTTCCACATTCTCGGAAGTGAACGTTGAACCTAATTGTTCATTTATATGAAAGGCGGCGCTATTATAAGCGGTTTTTTTGAACCTCTTATCCGCTTTCAATCCATCCCTAGCACATTTTGCAAGGAAAGGAATTAACAAATCATCATGTTTACTCTCCCACAATATGTTAACTCTCCTCTTGCAAGCCTCTTTCTTCTTGGATTTATGAGCAATAGCTTTCTTTTTCCTCTTTGGATTAGGGGATGAACTTTCATCACCATCAATATCATTAGCACTCCTCTTGTTGCTTTGACATTGTTGAATAGGTGACGGAGTTTCACCCATGCTATAACTTTGACGTTGTAAACTTGGAGGAGCATTTAGCATGTTCATGAATGACATTGTAGGTTGTTGGCCAACTCCCCAAAAGTTAGCATCTTGCATTTGAAAATTATTCCAAAAATTAGGACCTTGGCCAACTTGTGAAGAGTGATAAGGCATAAAGCTCGGGTTAAACCCACAAGGGAATGATGAATTCCTTGGGGTTCGAGGCGATGAATTGGATGTCATACTCTTGCCTTTGACCTTATCAAGTTCCTCACAATTGAAGTTGTCGGCCATACCTAGAAAATAGTTATAGAGAAATACGAAATAAATATACGTAAGTTGAGTAAATAAAGTGTGTCCTAAGAGAATTACATACAACACATAATAGTACACACGCTAACATAAAATGAACATAAAATGAAGTACATGAAATATGTCATCACACGCTAACAACACATAATGTTTTACACACGCTAACATAAAATGAAGTACATGAAAATAGAATAATTCAAAACATGAGACAACATCACTATCAAATTGCATCACATGCCTATTTCATTAGTATTCCCTCCCTTATACTTATCACAATAATCAACCCACATTTCCCAAGCTATTTGATCTCTACGATTCTTCCATACGTTTCTTGATTCTGCTTGCTCCCTTTGAGTTTGGGGTTGAGAGAAATCAACAATATTATTATCATCTTCATTAGCAACTTCACCTTCATCATCTTCGATCTCAACGGTCTCATTGAATATATCATCATCCGGATCAACCATTGCAATATAATTGTGAAGAACTGCACAAGCTAATACAATATCCACTTGCGCGCGAAAAGGGTAATGAGGTTTCGCGGTGAGAATTTTGAAACGATTCTTCAGGCAACCAAATGTAGATTCAATCTTAGACCTTAAAGAAGAATGTCTAAGATTGAATAATTCCCTTCTATTTTTAGGTGTTCTTCCTATTTGTTCCTTCAAATGGTAACGAACACCACGATATGGGGAGATAAAACCCGGCATGGTCGTGTATCCCGCATCACACAAGTAATACTTTCCTACAAATGCATGATTTGAAGGCGTTTAGTAAAAATTTTTGTCAATTCATCGAATAAACCAATATTAATTAAAGTAATTACTTAAAATTTAAGATTTGATGATATTACCATCGTATACTTTCAAGCCATGAGGTTGTGGCCTACACAATGCATCTTGGAGGACTCTAAAGTCATTTGCAGAACCTTCCCATCCAGCTAATACGTAAGTGAATAACTTGTTTGGAGTGCAAGCCGCTAAAACATTTTGTGTAACACCTTTTCGACCACGGAATCGTGGTTGAAGACTAGCAGGTAGCGTAGCATCAACATGTGTACCATCTATCATACCAATACAATCCTAGAGAACAAAAAACTACAATTGAATCCTTTTTTTTTAATTAAATGAACATGCTTTTAATCACAAATTAAAGAGAGAATACCTTGAAATAAGGATAGTATAGAGGGTTGCTAAGGATCTCCTGTGGAACTTCATTCCGTGCTTGTCTTAAAAAGCGTGGTCGTATGTGGCAAATAGCTTCTAACACTTTGTTGAAATACCTACTCACAGTCTCGCCAGATCTAATGAAATGTGACCTAATACTTCGATTTTTAGTTTTATGCCCCAAGATATTCAAAGTCATAGCAAGTTGCTCCTCCACTGTAACATGTCTTGAGTCTCGTAATAAATCATTGCTCCTCAATATCTCTACAAGCTTCATAAAAGCACCACTTCGCATTCTAACATAGTTGACACAACTATCACTAAATCCATTATATATGCGATCCAAGTGTTGTTTTCTATTTTGATATTGTATTATTTTCTCTTCACTAGGACCTGCATGTATAGATCTACGTCTACTTTGCATTCTCCTCTTGAATATCATAACCATAACCAAGACAGATAGTACAGCACCCGAACACATATTAACTACGGTTTCTTCATCGAGATCATCATCCATCTAAAATACAAACGTCATATTAAAGCAGATAGTAACAGTAAATGAAGATGGTTGTCTAATTACATCCATCTAAAATACAAACGTCATATTAAAGCAGATAGTAACAGTAAATGAAGATGGTTGTCTAATTATATTGCTAAGGTCCTAAAACGTCATATTAAAGCAGATAGTAACAGTAAATGAAGATGGTTGTCTAATTATATTGCTAAGGTCCTACGTGCAAAATGAAAAGACAAAGCTATTAGACTTGGGTTTAAAAATATATTTGGAAACTAACGCAGACAAAATCAGGTCACATTGTTCAATATGATGACTTCAAGCCTGGTCCATGACCCACAATTATAAATACATATTTTTCTCTTCTTATCCCTAGGTCAAGAAAAATGGTAACTACAATATGTGTACATATAGAGAAGAATGCCATTAATAAGTCACTCAAATGAGCTATCGGAGATTTTACACACTTAAAGCTTATAGTTTGTCACCACATTTAATGTTTGCCTTCAAATTAATCATCAATTTGTTTCTTAGTTTGTATTCAGTTCATCAAAACCCAAAGCCATGTTCAAGAACAAGAAAGTCCATATCTATGTACCTATCAACTAATTGAATGCAGACAAGTAGTTTCTAACCATAAAAATTGATTCATTTCCCATCATTCAAAGAAATAAAATGTTTTTCGACTATACTCATGTTACTAATTTGTTTTTACGCAAAGACCAAATGAAATTGCTACTAATATTCATGTTAGCGACCAATTTTCTCAAGAACAGCGATCGTCAGGCCAAATCCCCAAATCAACCGCAAGAACAAGAACAGCGATCGTCAGGCAAAATCCCCAAATCAACCACAAGAACAAGAACAGCGACCTTCCAAAATGCCAAATCAACCGCAAGCTCTCAAGAACGTGCGAAGAGCAGGTGGCGGGAGAAGATGGAGGGAAGGAACGGCATGGTGATCAGAAACCTAGGGTGAAAGGGGAGGGGAGGGGGGAGGGGGGGAACGAGATTTGAGCACTTTCCACCAAAATCGGGGTTTTTGGAACGGAAAACAACTTTCAGCAAATCGCCACTTTCAGCCCCCTTTTCTTTCGCCGCTAAAAACGAACCAAACATCCGTAAATGAAGAAAACTGACAGATTTTTCGTCGTCAGTTTTCAAAATAGGCTTTTACGTCACTTTCAGCTCAAATTTGAGCGAAACAAACAACCCCTTAAGGAAAACAATTTCCTTAGTTTTTTTGAGGAAATGGATGGAAATAAAATGTTAATGAGATGAGATGAGTTGTCACTATATTATTGGATGATGTGGGTGATTTTTAAAGATGAGATGAGATGAGTTGGATGATGTGATCCATTTCTTGTGTTTGGTTTATTTTTAAAAGTAAGAAAGAAGATGAGATGTGATGAGCTGGTTAATATAAATAATATTTTATTGATAAAAGTGTATAT